AGAACACAGCGGAATTTTAGTTTAGAGGACAAGTGCTTTACTTCCTTGTATATGCGTGTTATTAAGCTGTTGGTTTCCCTTCGCCTTAGGTGCTGCTACATCCTCGTCATCGTCTTCACCTTCGTCCAGCTCCATAACGGCTGCTGTTATGTTAACATTAGCTGAACCGTCAATGTCCAGCACGTCACAGAATGGAATGTCAGTTGAGTGCAGGTGACAGCAGGACTTGCTAAAGCACTTTGCACTTAATGGCTGTTGAGAGCCACGTCTTTTTTTATACTGCACAGTGGCACAAAAAATAAAAAATCAGACAAGCACTATTTTATATTTAAAAATTGTTTCTTGACAAGCTGACTTGGCACTTAAGTGCACTTTTTTTATGAAGAAAAAGTACAATGAACTGCTTTTCCTCAAGCAATAATTGTTTCCAACTTGTCTGGGAATTGTGTGTCTGGTAACTTGAAGGCCTTCCACTGTGGCAAATGGAGGCTTTTCACTGCCTGTAGAGACAATACAGTAAGCGTAGTCATTGGGCGGCCACAACATGTTAAGATAACTTACTGTATATGTATTCCCTTGTATTTTGTTAAAGCTGGAACATTTGATATTTTTCCATTTATTTATGAAAAAATATGAACCTATTTTCATTTGTACAAGCTAATTGTTTTTTAAAGCAAGTCACCTTAGGGTGGCTTTAATTGTATAACTCAAGCACATGTAATAAATTCAGAACCTGCAGTTAACAGGATATTAGACATCAATCCTGATAACCAAATATTAAAGATTCTCTTTAAAAAAGACTGAACATGTTTACAGGTTTGAATTAGGCTAAAAGGTCTTGCAGTGGCTTTTCACGCCCCTTCAAATTGGAATGGAACTACTGTACTTTGCCATTTTTCTATAAATCAGTATTTTTTTTTAATTTTGATATAATACATTGTGTGAAAAAAGAAAATGGCTAATAAACTGTATTAAATCTTAAACAATGTGTAAAGATTGTACTTAGCCAGTTCAAAGTGTATATTTATTCATAATGAATTATAACAGTTATATTTTTGTGTTTTCTTGTAAATGTTTCTTTTTCCTTAAATACAGATAATTCATTTGTATTGCTTATTTTATTATGAGCTACAACAAGAGGACTTCAGGAACAAGTAAACTTTATCGGTATGGTTCAAGGCTGTTGCTATGAACTGTCTCAAAAGGATGGCTGTTATTTTAAGTATAAATAGCTAATCGGGGTGGTAGGCCTATAAAAATTAAATGCCTTGTATAAAATCCAAAATGAACGCAAAATTGTTTTCACCTGTATTGACTTTATGTTGTATGGTTCCAATCTCTGTTCTGTTTGGCACTTGTATTTAATTCTACACCTTTGTAAGACATTTGTATATTGCGGATGTGTTCATTCAAGCTATTTAATACCTGGCACTGTTAATACACAGTACTTTACTGTACAGACTGTTTTACTGTTTTAATTGTAGTTCTGTGTACTTTTTTTGGACGGGGCTGGCATGTTTTATTTGTTTTCTGGCAATACGACGTGAGAGTTTCGAAGCGTTTTGTTGTAGATGCTAACGTGTCAGAATCCTTTACATTCAACTTTTCTAAGAAAAGCATTTTCAGTCTTGCAGTGTGTGCTTACAGTAACTAATTTTGTTGAAAATGGTTTCAAGTTATTCAGATTTGTACAGGACTGTAAAGATTTGTTGACAGCAAAACATTGAAGAAAAGCTTATAGAATAAAAGCTATAAAGTATATATTAGGATCTGCAAACAATGAAGAATTATGTAATATATTGTACAAATGTAAGCAAAGGCTCTGAAATAAAATGCCATAGTTTGTGAATCCTTGATTTTGTTTCTAAAAGATTAAGTAATTTTAGTTCATTTCTGTCTCTGTTGCCTGACCGAAACATGTATCTCCAGCATGTATTATCAGAAAGGGTAAAATTGACATCCAAAAAAGGGAATATTCTGCCTATAGGAATTAAAAGTCCATTAACCAGATTTATGTACAGGATTTGTTAAGCGTTCTTATATCTTTGCATACTAGCTTGAGTCTGAAGATGAATACTTCTGACTTGGAGGTTTGTCTAAAGAAGAAAACCAAGATTTTTTTCTTTAATGCTTGAAACCATTACTAGCGGCTTTTTTTTTTCCTTTTATTTCTTTTCTCTTTTTTAATTTTTATTTTTGGTCTTTTAATGTAATTGGACCTTTGTGGCTCTCTTACACTTTCAGTGCACTCTACCCCATTGCACTTTGGAATCATCTGGGTATTGTTAAACCACTCATCAATACTCCAGCCCCCACCCTCAGTCATATTTAATTGGTCTGGGATGGTACCTGGATGCTGGTCTTTTTTTAAAGGTGGCCAGTGATTATAATACTCATCTGGGTTGAGAACCACTGCATCACTCCAAACCTTTAAAATCAATAATTAGGTTTTCTGCCCCGTTTAATGAACTTCCCACCAAGAGAAAATTTTTTATTTAAAACAAAAAGGAAACTTTTTTAAGGCCTAAAAAGCCCAAATGTGTATTTTTGATGCACCTTTGTGACGACCCTTTATTTTCACAGAAATCAGTTTAACGTTTAAAGGATGAGTTTTAAAATCTATAGAACAGTGCTTCTCAAAATGAGGTCCTAGAATACTGCTCCCTGGAAATGCTCTGGGAATTTATTACCAAACATATTTTGGAAATGCTATATATAGCACATCCCCTTCTTAGAGATTCAGTGTTCGCATGTTAAAAACTTTAAGAAGTTTTTTTAAGGAAGTTTTTTCATTTAACTTACTGATTTTAGACTTACCTGATCATGAAACCCTTTTTTTCAAGGAACTCGCAATATCACCTACTTGTTGGGTTACAGAAACGGTGCTCTAAAGGAGAGTGATTCCAAACTTTGTTGGAGTTGAGGTAAAAAAAAGCCTTGGGCTTTTCTGCCTATTTCTCCCTTCCTCCCAGCTTCTCCGGAGAGTTTGAGAATTTCATGGCATTACTAGAATTTGACTTAAGTCTTTCCCTGGTCCCCTAAACAACATTTTATCAAACTAGTTTACAATCTCTGATAAAATTAAGATGGTACATTTTTTTACAGTGTTCTCCAAAACCTTTTTTTTATTCCTACTGAAATAACCTGAGGGTGAGGTCTTGTTAATTTTAATAACCTGGGAAGGTTGGGGATGGTGGACCAGATTCCAGAAACCCCTAACATTTTTTACAAAATGTATTTGTATTTTTTTAAATGAAAAGAGCCCCAATAAGTTTAAGAAACTCTTCAAAGGGGTTAGTGATCTCTAAATGGTTGGAAAGCAGTTCTTAAGAACAGTGGGAATCATTTTTCAACTATCTCCAACCACAGTCTCTTTCATACTTATCACCTTTTCCTCTAGAAGTGTGTGCTGCCTTTCATTCTTTGTGAGTCCATTTCTTCACCTTTCGTCTAATTTTAACCTGCTATTTACGGATTTTTGTCTAACGTCATATGATGGGTTTTGTATGTATAAGATGTAAATCCCCTGGAGGTATAGTTTCATGGTTTAGCTGTGGAAGTAACAGATATTTAAGAGATCATAAAATTAAGCACTAAATTGTATGGGCATTAGAGTTTAAAGAGGGCAGTGTATGAGCACGCAAGGAATGTGATGACTGATGTGATGGTGACATAGAGGAGATGGCAAACCTTAGCATTTAACTGAGATTCATCTGGAAATGGAATGTGTAGGTAGTCTAGAGTGGAGAAAGGCCAGATTCAATGACATTGCGGTGTTCCAGAGAGGAAGTGATTCTTGGAATATGCTAGGGAGAGTGAGGAAGGAATCTGATTGGAAGACATGCTGATAGAAAAATGAGTAGAATGTCTTCATTGGATGGTATAGGATAGATGGAGATGCTAGAGTTGCAAATATGGACAGTTGAGTTTTTCTCATCTTTGTGTGATACCACATGCCAAAATAAGGGACTCAAATCAAAACCAGTGCCAAGCAGTTGAATATTGTTTTTCCATCACATTATCTGATGTGGACTGTAAAAAAGATCACATATATTCCCAGTGACTTCTATTAAGCAGCTCTCCAAAATTAGCAAATCTGTTGCCATAGATTCAAAGTCAAGTTTGATTTTACCACCAAAACTACTGATTCAGTGATTTATCTAATGATAATCTAATATTTTTTATTGCTTAAATGTCAATTTACCACATATTTACTAGGTACGGTGAATGGGGATACAGAGCACAGGCTGAATAAGACAACCATTTACATTTAGAGAAACTGTTATATCTCTACTGTAAATAGCTGGGAAATTGTCCTAAGTGAGCTGGGCCTTGAAGGATGGGTACAGTTTTGCAGGTGAAAATGAGGGGTAAAGAGGGGGGCGATTGTGGGGGAAGGAATAACAAGAATAAGAAGGAATGACAAAAGGTGAAGGAATAAAGAGGTGGTGGAAAAAACCGGACTTTGGGAAGGTAGGCCAAGAAGACAGCATAGTTTTGAGAGCCGAGAGCCCCTTTTCTTGGTAGAATGGAGCAGAGCAGCTTAGAGCTGTGGTCTCTATTTATTTGTTTTTAACTTTATTTTAAAATAATGTCAAATTTCAGAAAAGTTGCAAGAGCAGTACAAAGGAGTCCCATGTATCCTTCAACCGATTCACCAGTTGTTAATACCGTGTGACATACATCCCTGTAACTTAATTTCCCGACAAACCTCCCTCCTTCCTCTTCGACAACTCAGGGGTTTTCCTAAGTGTTTTCCCTTTGCTTGGACTGACACCCCAGTACCAGCCTGGCTGATTCTTATTCGTACTTAAGGCCTCAACTACCCTCGGAAGACTTCCCTCCCAAGACTAGGTCTCAGACAGAGGTACAAACTGGTCCGGAAGCCTGGACCCGGCTCCTTCGCCCGCCGTCTCCGTCCCCATGCCCGCCGTCTCCGCCCCCAGGGCGTCCGCAGAGACTCTCGGGGCGGAAGGGGCGTGGCTCCGAGAATGGAGTGGCCGGGACCCGGAAGTGCGGGCTCACGTGCTCCCGCCCTCTCGGAGGCCTCGGATAAGAATGGCCCTGGAACAGAAGAACAAACGGAAGAAAAAGAGGAGTGCGCGGGAGGGGTGAGTGGCGCGTGGCTCGTCTGCCTGGGCCGGAGTATGCGTTCGGGACCTCGGGGCGCTAGGGGTGGGGCGTGGCGTCGTGTCGCTGAGTCTCTGATGTCTGTGTCTAGAGAGAACCCGGAGGACGGCGCTTGTGGGAATCTGGCAGGAGACTATGAGGTTGGACAAGTCGCCAGTAGTTTATTCAACGGCAAGCGGCCCTCCAGAGGCAGCACGGGTCGGCTGGCTTCCCTCTTCGGCTCTTTGGAGCCTCAGCTTCAACCCGTGTATGTGCCTGTTCCTGAAGTAAGTCACTGCGTTATACCCCGAATGGCCCATTAGAACAACTTTAGAAGCAAGCAACCCACCTTGCAGGGCATGCTTTCTAAAGTGGGGCAGATAAGGATCAATTTTAAGTAACCTTTCATTACTGGACATATCAGTGAGAGAGAAAAGATGCTACTTTAGAAAGACTAAATTATTAAGAAGGATGAGGTCTGAAACGTAACTTCAAACTTTTAAAAGGAAACCACCAAAAAAAGGAAACGGGATGAGGAGGAAGAAAGTTCATCCCAAATCCAAAGACCGCTTTTGCAAGAACCTGCCAAAAAAATGAAACTGAAGAAGAAACTTTCTGATGCAGACCGAAAGTTGGCAAACAGGTTGGTAAAATTTCTCTCCTAGTTGATGTTAAAGAAATTAGATGGTAAAGAAATTGACATTCTTATACCAGCAATGTTCATCTTAATTTCTTTTCTCACTTCATAGTTATAATTTTAAAATTTTTATTATGGAAAGTCCCATACATTTTCAAAAGTTGAAAAGGATAAGGAACCCCAAGTACCCAGCATCAGCAGTTATTAATACTTGGCAAATCTTGTTTCATCTTTACCCTATTCATTTCCCCCTCATTATTTGGAAGCAAACCTAAGACCTAGGTTTCATCTATAAATATTTCAGCACGTATGGAAAAGATGAGTTTGCTTTTCTTAAACTTATTCAGAGATCAAATTTCCCCCATTAGTTTACTTTTTTTAAAAAAACAGTTTATTTGAATTGAGATCCATATAGCAGTACCATTATAGGTTCCTCATTAACTTTCCTCAGCCTGTCAGGCCACTCTCTTCATGCCCTTTATCTCTCTGTTCTCTCTTGGCAGGTGATCTTGTTACCTGATCTGATAATTTTGGGGGGGGGGGGCTGCCCCAGGGAGCTTGCAGGATCTTAGTTCCCTGACCAGGGATTGAACCTGGGCCCCCAGCAGTGAAAGCCTGAAATCCTAACCACTGGACCGCCAGGGAATTCCTCTGAGAGTTATTTTCTTTAATTGCTAACAGTTGTGAGCTACTCCTTCTGGTTCTCCTACTGCTTGTAACTATGCACATCTTTAATTTCTTCCCCTTTCAGAGAAGGGTGTCTTCCTCCTCGTCCAAGATTAATTCAGTCACCTGTGCTGTTTATATATAGCACATACCTCTTCTGCCTCCTTAGGGTTTATGTCATCATATATATATATATATATATCTGTATCTTTGATCTGTCCTCTCAAGATTCTCATTTTAAAAAAAGAAATCCAGCAAAACCCCATCTGCAGTCATGTGTCCCTGTTTGCTCCATCCCCTCAAACCTTCCCTTCATTGCCAAGCTTTTAGAAAAAGATGTTTATACTTGCGCTCTCTTCCTTTTCTTGATCTGTTTTCTTTTCCATGAACTTGCACTCTGGTTGTTTGTTTGTTGTGTTCATTTTTATGTGATATGACCATACTTCTGAAACAGTGCTCAGGGAAGCCATCCTGACCTAGGTAGGTGCCATATTTAGTAGGCAGTACAGCCTTTGTCTGAGTCCTTGCTTTTACATGTCACGTGGTTGCTTTCCTTCTCAAAGCTGTTGGAGTCTTTGATAGCAGTCTCTTCTCTTCCTCCTCTTGTCTTTCTGCTCCTTCTCAGTGGTATTGTGGGCACTTTCCTTCTGACTGTTCCTTAAATGTTGATTTCCCTCGGGATTCTGTTCTTGGTCATCTTCTCATGACTTTTTTCACACCCTTCATTCTGGGCAATCTCCCGGTCCTCGTGGCTCCACAATTCTCATTGCTCTTTCTTGATCTATAAACCTGTATATCTGTTTGTCTGCTGGTCTCTAGCTCTATATTCATGTACACCTCAAATTCAGGATGCTTCAAACTGAGCATATTATCCTCATCAAACCTGTTCCTCTGCATGAGGGGTACCATCAGCCTTCCTGTTGCCCGAGCCTGTGACTTGGGAGTCAACTTAGACTCTTTCTTTTCCCTGCATATCTAATCAGTTGCCAAGTCCTAATGATGCTGTCTTTTAATTATCTCTTTTAATCTGCTTCCCCTTTCCACCTTCTCCCTTGCTCTGGTGGGTCTGTTGTCTTCTGAGATGCCTGCAGTTGTAACTGTCTCCTTACTGGTCTCCCTTATCCAGCCTTGTCCCTTTCATAATTGTCTTCTGCTCTGCTGCCCAAATGATCTCTTTTAGGCACTTTCAAAGTCTTCAGGGGCTCCCCATCCTCTGTGGGATAAAAATCTAAGCACTTTTGCATAACAGGCATGGTCCTCCTTGACATACTGTCTCATTTCCTTTCACTCCTACTAGGTATTTTATATACCATAGTGAACAAAAAACTAGACATTGACCCTCTCCTTACTGGAGCTTGTGGTCTAGTGGAGGGATGAAACGGTCAACATTTACTGAGGACTGACCATGTGCTATATACACTGCCTTTCCTCCTCTGAGAGCCTTTCTTGTTTCTTTTATGTTTCTACACCATGTATTATACACGTTAACCATTTTATGGTGAACCTTGCCTATCGCTCCAGAGACTGGACTACTGAAAGGCCTCTAATAGTCTCTTTTATCTTTGTATCCCCAGAGGCTAGAACTGAGTAGTAAATATTTATTGAATGAATGAATGAATGAGTTTTATGACTCCTACTACCCATTCTCTCCCCTCACTCCTAAGTTCCTGTTCCATTTCTCTTTTTCGACCATTTCCATTTTCTCTTTACCCAAGTGCACCAGTACTTCACAATATTGGCGGTATTTGCTTTTGACAAGCAGTCCTTGAAATACTGCAGTAGGAAATCTGATTTCTCCTCTTCGCCAGATTGCTTTTACAAAGCTAAGTACTTTGCCAGCATATTAACCTTCATAGACCCCCTGGGAGTGCTGCAGTAACCCTGGAATTCTAGACCAGAGAATGGAATTAGGCATTGGTAGAGTGTCAACTAAATCCCCAAAGCTTTACGTGAGCCAGCTTCTGTTTACATGAACTTTTGTTGCTCTGTTTATTACCTGGCAGTTTTAACCTATCTTCAGAAATTGACCTTAACTTTTTCTAACTCTTGAGTTTCCTAAAGATACCCGTCACTTTTTGATAATGTTGTTTAAATGTAGATGTATTTGTGAAGGGTAAGTTGATATATAGGAGGGCCAGAAGTAGATGGGAAATTTTTCTAATCAATGTGCTTTGTCAAATACGAGACCTGACTTCCATGACTTTTTTTTTTTTTGACTTAAAAAGAGAAAATGCTTTAGCAAGTGCTGATTTAGAAGAAGAAATTCACCAGAAACAAGGGAAGAAAAGGAAAAATTCTCAATCTGGTATTAAAATTGCCGATAAAGAAGTACTTGATGATGTAGATCACACAGCTGTAAATCAAAGAAAGAAAATTCAAACCAACCAAGAAGAGAGATTAAAGAATGAGAGAACTGTGTTTGTTGGGAATTTGCCTGTCACCTGTAATAAGAAGGTGAGTGTGTAGTCTGTATATTGTTAACATGCAGAGAAATTAATAATTCGTGATTTTGTTTACTGTCACTTTACTAAATAAATCATTAATATATAACTTCATTATAAATGACTACATATATCATTCTATAGATTGATTCCAGTATCCACCTGCTCCTTTCCATTCCCGAAGTCACTGTCCTAATTCAGGCTTTTGCAAGTCTTGTCTGAAATATTGCAGTGGTCTCCTATCTGGTTTTTTCCTCCAGCTCTATCTTCTCTTATATGCCACTAGAACGGAAGCACCATACGTGCAGGGATGTTTATCTCTTTTCTTCACTGCTCTATCCCTTAGCACTTGAAACAGTGCCTGGTGTGTAGTAGAGGCTTGTTGAATATTTGTCGTGTAAATGAATGCATACATCCTAAGTTTCTTCCGTTATGTGGGGTTCACTAAACCAAGACGTGCCCTTTACTTTCTGTGTGTTTATGTGATAGTCACCCTGGTGGCAATCCCTTCGGTTAAAATCCTGCTTATCTTTTGAAGAACAATTTCAATTCCACTTTCTTAAAAACAAAACAGTACTAGAAAGTTACTTCCTGGTTTTTCCCTTTCCCCCTTGCCCTTTTGTCCCCTAGCATTTGATGTGTGATTATTTTGTAGTACGTAACCCATTTGACTTTCTAGGGTAGTTTTGGTTACTTATCTTCCTCAAGGGAAGGGAGTGTTTGTGGTGCTTTACACATTTAATAAGTTATTTTTGGATTAAAATTGCTTATAGAAATTATTGTGCAAGCTGTAAAACATATACCTTCTTCACATCCTGAGCCAGTCATAAGAATAATGTATAAAATTCATCCTAAGACTTTTCTTCAATCTGATGGTCTTAATTCCAGACAGTTGGGGAATTTCCCATGGTGACATAAAGGATCCTTAAAATCCATTTCTGGTTTAAATAAGCCAGTGTGAAAAGATGAGAGAATTTATGGAATATATAATCTTAGTTTACCTGTAGTAAAGATTATAAAAGATTGAAAGAAAAAATGTTGTGTACCTTATAGATACTAACATGAACTTGAATTGTGTTTTCTTTTTATCTAAGTTTCAGTAAAAGTTTTTTGTCTTCTAACTGAATAGTTACCTACTTTTCCTGAAATATTCTGAAAACATGGCAGGAAAAGATTATCAGACCGCTTTACCTAATTCCTTTTTGTGGTATTTATTTGATGTTCTGAAAGTGGACTGAAATATATATATATATATGTGTGTGTATATATATATGTTTTTTTTTATTTTAGAAGCTGAAGTCATTTTTTAAAGAGTACGGACAGATAGAATCTGTACGATTTCGTTCTCTGGTATGTGTTCCGCCCCCTTAAAATTGCATAATCTTAAAATGTTTTGCATTTAAATCCGACTTATTCATATGTCGGTTTTAGTGAGTTGGAGGAGCCCTTGACTTTAACCTTTAGAACCGACAGGCTCAAATCTAGCCCCAAAGAAGAATCACACTAGTATCGATTGCTGACTCTTGGACTTTGTTAGCTAATTTAATGAGTTCAAATATAAAATGCTGTCCTTACTAAGTGTACTTTGGAGGGTGGATGGGTGACATTTGTTTGTGTGTTAATTGAGTAGGTGGAAACGTTCACACCTGTTGAGTAGCATTTCTGGAATCATAGGTGTTCATATGAGGGGTTTGCATGACGCTGCAGAGCAGTACTTATGGTCTGACATAAAAAGATAAAGTATGTTTTAATCAATTTAGTGTTAAAACTTTATGGAAATAAATGGTATCTGATTTCACCAGCTGAGCACTCTGTAGACCAGTTATAGCCATGTTCCTTGGAGCATGAATAAGCATCACTCATATGTTTTTTAATGTAATTAATATGTATTAGTATAGTGTAGGAGATGTTTGTTCCTTGTTTCCAACTGCGTTTTCTCAACGTGATTGTCTAAAATGGGGTTTCTCAGCCTTGATACTATTGACATTTGCTGCTGGTTAGCTCTTAGTTGTTGGAGGCTGCCCTGTGCGATGCAGGACCCCTGGCCTCCACCTGCTAGGTGCTGGTAGCATCCTCCCCACCCCAGTTGTAACAGCCAAATATATTCCCAGACATTGCCAGATGTCCCCAGCGGGCAAAACCGCCCATTTCTCTGAAAGGAGACATTTCCCAAGGTTTTGGTGCAGTCTCTATAATTCCTGTCATGGTGTTTGTTCCTCACACTTATCACATGTGTATTTTGTCTGCCCTTCTGAGTCCTGCTGCTTCATATCAGATCCTTGCCTGACACATCCACTTGGGTGTCCTGCCTGTTTTCAGCGCGTCTGTGCTTTACCTCCATCAGTCCCCCACCCCAGCCTATGCCACCTGCTGTTTTTCAGCTGTGGTTTCTTCCCAAGAGGAGTTCTTTCTTTCTTTTTCCATTGTTCCACCTTAGTGTTCACAGCTCTTGCCAGAAGAGTTGCAGAGGCCTTTTACGGGTCCTGCTTTCAGTCTGCCTCAGATGCATGCATCGCACCACCGTCAGCTTAATCTTCCTAAAGTACTTCCTCCTGGACCTCCTGCCCAGAATTCCTCCCCTCCACCTCCCCTCCCGTGAATATTATACACACCACCACCCCTGCCTTGGCCTGGAGTTCCCTTTGGGGGGCCTGCCCTGATTCTTCCTTGTCCCTGGATTATTGGTAAGTCAGGTGACCCTGCTGTGCGCCCTGCAGCACCCTGTGCTTCACTATAGTCCTTATGACACCGCTCTGTCATTGTTAGAGCTCCTGTCCCACCAGACTGTGAGCTGACTACAAACACCCTGTTTGTGTGGCTCCTCCTTGGGTCACTAGCACCTGCACCTGGTGCACATCAAATATGTATGGCGTTCCCTAAAAGCTTTTCATTTTTCTCGCTGTCAGTGTCCTTGGTTCTTTGCCTGACAGCCTGCACAGGGTGGCCCTGGGGCCCTGCGTTCTTCTACATGGGACTGTCCTGCAACCCGGGAGCTGCCCTCGTTGCCAATCATGTGCTTGGGCTTTCCCACCCTTGTCCTTTTGCTCAGTTCATTTTTTTCTTTTTTTAATTGATGTCAAATTGGTATATAACATTATGTTAGTTTCAGGTGTTCAACATAACAGTTCAGTCTTTGTTTACCATGCAGTTGACTCCCTTCACCCATTTCACCCACTTTCACCCCCCTTCTCCTCTGGTAACCGCCAGTCTGTTCTCCGTATCTCTGAGTTTTGTTTTGTTTGTTTTCGGCTGCGCCGCTTGCGGGATCTTAGTTCCCCGACCAGGGATTGAACCCAGGGCCTCGGCGGTGAGAGCTCAGAGTCCTAACCACTGGACCGCCAGGGAATTCCCTGTTGTGTTTTTTTGATTGCACATATAAGTGACATCATACAGCATCTGTTGTTGACTTAGTTCACTTAGCATAATACCCTCAGCATCTATCCATGTTGTCTCAAATGGCAAGATTTCCTTCTTTTTTATGGCTGAGTAGTATTTCACTGTATATATATTCTTTTTGTACTTTATTGCCTTATATTTATTCATTCGTATCTTTAATAACAGAACACAGGTCCTTGAGAGCTCCTAGAAGGCATCCAATAGACGTGTTTTGATGACCAGCATTCCCATGTCAGTTATTCACATGGGCATTTCTCATGTGTCATACTGTTTTCCTGTCTACATTTTGAGAGTTTGACCATATGTTAGTTTGAGCAGAACAGACCGAGAAGAAATAGTTCAAGTTTCTTAGTTTTACTATATAAACTATTGAATGACTAAAAGAAAAAACTCTTCCAGAGATTTATAGTAACTGCCCTAAATGGGGTTGGCATTTATAGACACCCCTGGACTTGTGAACTTGCAGTCTGTATCCTTTTAGCTTTGTGTTCTCTGTACCTGGTGGTATTTGGCACACATTGCTGACAGTCACAGTTGCTGACTTGAATTTCCACCTCTCTGTAAAGTTTTCCCTACCTGCCCCCTTCACTCTTAGGTATGACCCTTATATGACTGACAGTAACGTGACTCTGAATATAAAGGAGATTCCCTTATTTGTCCAATTACAGATACTGAAGTAGTATCTTCTTATATTATTTATCAAATGATATATTTAAAATCATATAGCATACACAGTATTAATTTAGAAGTGTCCCTTTTTTCCATGCTGATTTTATAAAACGATTTTCCTTAACACTCTTCACATGTGTCTTCAACATCATTGCCCCCCTCACGACCAGAGATCCCTTCAAGTCATTTGTAACTTACGCCTGGTTTGAGAGTCACTGCCTGTGAAATCTAAATGTGGCACTATCATTGGAAATGTTTGTCCTCAGCCACCAGGTCCTGTTCATACAACACTAGGACAGTTGTTTCTGATTCATTATTTCCTTAGAATGTTTTTAATCACATCATATCAGACTTAGATATTTAGAATTCAATTAATAAAAATATAATTATTTTGAAATAATATTTTAAACAATGATTTTTCTTTAATACTTTTTTTTTTCTCTTAAAAGATTCCAGCAGAGGGAATTTTGTCCAAAAAGTTGGCAGCAATAAAGTAAGTTTATAATTAGAGAAAGGGAGTAGTCATAAATTCTCTTCCATTTTGGTTAAAATAGAGATCATTTCTTAACCTCATAGATGTTTGTATTTGGATAAAACATCATGTTTTATTGTTTTCTTATGTCTGTAATAACATATAAATTTGTCAGATGTTCGTCTTCAAGCCTCAACATAAATTGTAGAGTCAAGGATAAGAATTGCAAAATAACTTAAAATGTGTCATGAGAAATGAGAAATTTCAAGGACGTTTAATCAGGCATAGTGTTTGAAGAGAATAAGAAAGTTTTGCACCTAAAAATTCTATTGTAAATCATAAGTATCATATTTCATCAATTCTAAGGCGACATTTCCCATACCTTAACATTTTTAAAATCAAAATGCATCTTAAAATCAGAGGGGCCTCATGGTTGCTATTGGCTGGCCAGGTTTTTCCAGGGAAATTCTATAGGTCACACTATAAGATGGAGAGATAAATGGGGAATCCTACAGTTTAAACAGGAGTCAGAAGACTTTTCAAGTTGAAAACTGGACAAGACCAAAGTATGTCTAGGAGTAGACACTTGGGTGATAAAACCACATAAACACGCAGGGAAGTTGTTCCTATAATAATTCCCTAAGCTGTACATGTCTGTGTAGTTTTTATTTTACAGTAAAAAGGAAAAAGCACGTTGTCTTTCCCATCTGTGTGTGCCTTAGATACAGAGCTGCAGCTAAGGTGATGCTGGGTTAGCCAAAAAGTTCATTCGAGTTTTCCCGTAAGGTATCACTCGAACGAACCGTGTGGCCAGCCCAGTAGTTGTAGTGTGGTGGGTTGCCCGGGGGCGCTTGCTGGTCTCTCACAGTGATGGCTAGTAAGGAGGCCTGGGTCACGTGTATCAGCCCATATCTGTGTAAGTTGTGTGTTATTTTTTTGAGTTATTACTAAATATTTATTAAAAGAGATGAAACCCCCCCCAGAAATTCTTGTCATATGTGTTGAGAGTGGAAAACAAGCTATATTTATTTCAGTGACTTTGAGATTAACAAATTTTACATTGTCTTTTTTTTCTTTTCTTTGTTTTTTTTTTTTTTGGTGTAGACGTAAAATTCATCCTGATCAGAAAAATATTAACGCTTATGTTGTGTTTAAGGACAAGAGTGCTGCTACAAAAGCACTGGAAAGGTAATTTCATCTCTTCGAGGTTTGGACAGAATTATTGTAATTTAAGTGTGTATGAGTCCACGCTTTATTCTTTGGTTTCACTTCAGAGCAAATATCCCAGTAACTCAGCACTTGTTTTTAACAACAATTTTCCCTTCGTATTTATACCAGAAATGGGGCCCAAATTGCAGATGGATTTCGTGTTAGAGTGGATCTTGCATCTGAGACCTCATCTGTGAGTAGTTCTTCTGAGCTTGTGCTGGGAGAGCAGTGGGGTCAGCAGGGAGCATGCGGGAAGCACAGAGGAGACAGCCTTTGCCCTCTGTGGTCTCAGCTAATGCCCTGTAAGTCAGCATCAGCTTCAAGAAAGTGGTTCCCACCTGTACGTTAGATCCAGTAGTCCTAAAGAGAGAGGCCAGAAGTTACGTTAGAGAACATCGGGGCCAGCACCTTATTTTATAGACTGAGGTCTAAAGTTAAATCAGTCATTAAACAGTTTTTGAGTCTGTCCTCTGTGTCAGGCATTCAGTGCTGAGATACAGACTCAGTTCTCTAGGAGTTCACAGGATAAAGGTAAAGATGAGCAGACGATTTTATGATAAATACTGTCATAAATGCCCAGGATGCTTTGTCAGCTCAGGAATGGAGCACTTGATTTGGGGGGTTGTCAGCAAGAAGGGACAAAGGAGGGTTTCCAGGAGAACAGGTGTTCTATCAGTCTTGCAAGATGAGTCTGTTATCCAGGCAAAAAAATTTTGAACAGTATGAATGGTGGGGACCAAAACCTAATTTGCTCAGGGAATGGCACAGCCTGATGCAGTTAGTAGTGGCTGGCGTGTGAGGAGGGGCGGGATAAGAGTAGCTGTTGGAGAAATAGGTGGAGGCCAATCATGAAGACCCTGGCCTGCCATGGGGAGGAGTCTGGGTTTTGTCCAAAGCTGTTCCTCAAGGTCTCTTGAAACGGATGAAGCGTGAGTTGCAAGAACTCACCGCAGAAACAGGGTGCGTTACGGTCGGCGTCAGGGTGACTAGTTGAGAAATGACAGAGGCCTGGCTGACAGCCCTGGCTTTGATTGTGGACCTGGCACGGGGTCCGCAAACTGGCTTGAGGGCTTAATCTGTTTGCGGCCCGTTTCTGTTAATAAAGTTTTACTGTCACCCAACCAGGCAGGTAGGTACAGCAGAGACCACGTGGCCCACAAAGCCTAAAATATTTGCTTTCTGGCCCTTTCCAGAAAAAGTTTGCCCACCCCCAATAGAGCAGGCCTTCCTTGAGCACTGCCGTGGGTCAGTGCCAGCTGTGAACAGAAGCACTCCCCGCTCTGGGGCTCGCTCACACTCCAGTGGGGAAGGCGGAAGAAAGGGGATCAAACAGGGGCCTGGAGGGCGGGGAAATCAGGAGATGGAGCCCCGTCAGGTGTGTGGGGTGAGGACAAGGGTGGACTTTAGGGTGACTTCTGTTTTCTGCTCCATGAGTGATTTTTATTAACCCTCTTTGTGTTTCAGAGGGACAAGAGATCTGTATTTGTGGGGAATCTCCCATACAGTAAGTTTGTTTAAACAAATAAAGTACCTGTTTATCACTGAAGTAATGCAAATAACATCTGAGTTGGTAACATAACGTTTCGCTTTAAGACTACCTTGAAGAAGCGCGGGGTGTAACTTGACTGGTTACCTTGAGGCTGTGCTCACCCTTGGTGTATTATGAAACATCTCCAGCTTCCTGAGGCGATTCCAAGCCCTCACTTCCACTGGGGTTGAATCTGTTTTTAGAAGCTGAAGAATCTGCGGTTGAGAAACACTTTCTGGACTGTGGGAACACTGTGGCTGTAAGGATCGTGCGGGATCAAGTTACAGGAGCCAGCAGAGGCTTTGGCTACGTGCTCTTTGAGGTAGGGAGGCTGATGTATCCTCACTGTCCTTGAAGTGTGCCTGGAGAGGCTGTCACTGCTGCCCCATCCTTCAGACGTAACTCTCACTGTCATCCTCAAAATTCCACCTTAAGAAAACGACATTCATAACCCGCCACAGTATAATAGGCTCCTGTTCGTATAATTGCATCCAACCAGGAGATGTTCTAGTTATTTCTCCACATTAATGTTGTTAAATAATGTTTTAGATACTGGATACTAAAGGTATTAAATCTCTGAATCTCTACCTTCTGTAAAATGGAGAGAAGAACTGATCGTTCACTCAGGTAGAAGAGAACGTTAGTCTCTGTACAAAATTGGTTATATTTAGTTCACTAAATATTAGCCAGTGTCTCATGCCTAAAATTATTAGAATACACATGTGGCCTTCCCTTCACAACAGCCCATCCATGTACTTCCTTTCAGTTTTTATCTGCGCCGCCTTTTTTATGGTCAAACTTAATATTTGTGAACATAAGATTCTGCAAGCTGCTTTATGTTGTTTTCTGTCGTGTAAGTATGTTCCACTGAGCGTGTATACTGTCTTTTCCCTAGTGTGTGCCAAATGTTGCATGTTTGCAGTGTTCTCTCTTTTTCTCTGTAATAATGAGATCAGAGTGGTTATGTTTTTTCCTTCAAATGTTTGCCTCCATTTTTGGATTACTTCTTTAGGAAAGCTCCCCAATGGGTTACCACTAACCAGGTCAAGACATCTGACCATCTTTAAGGCTCTTAGTACGTATGACCAGGCGGCTTTGAAGAAACGTGGTCACAGCCTGCCATCATGACTGTGATGTAGTTATCTCACTGTTTCTCTGCTCTGTCTTCTGACTGTTGATAAGTTTGTAAAGTTCTTTAACAGACATGTCATGAATATTCAGGGTGGTTAGCATTTAGTGGCTCTCTATTAGAATAAAAGAATAATAGAATTTTGGACCTAAAGGGAACCCTACAAGGCATCTAGTCTGACTGATCCATCTCAAGGACTGTAATAGAGAGTTCTCTGCTCTCAAATCAACTAATACAGCAGGGCTTTTTCAGGAAGAGCCTTGTGAAGAGGAGGCTTATTGGTTTAAAAGACACTATAGGACTGACCTCGTTAATTGAATTTACATTGGGAAAAATGAAGCCTCTTGGATTGTGACTTATTATTTGACAGGGCAGCTTGAGTGCTTCCTGGGGAGAAACTCATGAGAGGGAGCATGATTAAAACTACAAGAACAGCTGCTTGTAGTTCAGTACTTTGGATTGGACTTCTTGGCTGTGGAAATGAGAGGGGTTTCTATATGCAAGCTTGAAAGTTGTTCTAATCCAGAAAAGTCACCATTTTACTTGTTTCTTTGCACATGAGTTTCTGGTGAAAATTTAATATTTTGATTTTTATTGCAGAATACAGATGCTGTTCATCTTGCTCTGAAATTAAATAACTCTGAACTGATGGGAAGAAAACTCAGAGTCATGCGTTCTGTCCATAAAGAAAAATTAAAACAAAATTCAAATCCTAGTTTGAAGAATGTCAGTAAACCTAAGCAGGGACCTAATTTTTCTTCAAAAAATGCACAACATTCTAAAACTTTGTTTATCGGAGAAAAAGCTGTTCTCATGAAGAAGAGAAAGAAAGGACAGAAGAAAAGTGCTAAGAAACAGAAAAAACAGAAGTAGCTATCCGAAGCCTTTTCTTTGTTTTCCCCACTGACTACTGGTAATAAAATTGTGGTAAATCCATGTATTGAATTTCAGGATTTTTTTACATATTGTGAAACATGGACACTTTTTCAGTTATTCACATTGCAATAGTACCTTTGAATCATTTGTTTCAAGGTGTAGGCAGATCAGTCACCATGTTAATACTGCTGATGGTATGAGATGATTTTAGATGTAGGGTGAACATTTAGAATTTTAGCGTTTATGTATTATTTTACCATATGTTGGAAATAATTAACACTTCAGAGAGTTATTTTAAGAATTACTTGGGATGAGACTAAAAGTGAGTAAATTTAAAGAAAGTGAAGTAACCTTAATACTGATTGTATCTAGACAAAGTAAATAATTAAAGTGGGAATACTGATTGATCTAAGGTCAAATCATAATCCCTAAGAAGTAAAGTTTTGAGGTTTGGTATATAATAGCCACTCATTTTTCTTCCTTCCTCTTGCACTTAGGATAAGTGGAGTTCTGGGTTTTAATTTTATTTCATCAACCTAATAACTAACCAACAGGGATTCTGTATCAACTGTTGCTCTGATTTTTTATTCTTAATTGGTGATTAGACTGGTTATTAAAGTTCTTGGTAAATTGGCTATAAAGCAGATTTTTACTTCTATTTTTAATTTGAAAAATATTCTCCCAGGAAAACTTGTGATTCTTCTTTTTTTAATATAAATTTATTTATTCTTATTTATTAATTTTGGCTGCATTGGGTCTTCATTGCTGTGCACGGGATTTCTCTAGTTGCGGCAAGCAGGGGCTACTCTTGTGATGTGCGGGCTTCTTACTGCGGTGGCTTCTCTTGTTGCGGAGCACGGGCTCTAGGTGTGCGGGCTTCAGTAGTTGTGGCTCGTGGGCTCTAGAGCGCAGGCTCAGTAGTTGTGGGGCACGGGCTTAGTTGCTCTGCAGCATGTGGGATCTTCCTGGACCAGGGCTCAAATCCTTGTCCCTTGAATTGGCAGGCGGATTCTTAACCACTGCGCCACCAGGGAAACCCAAAACTTGTGATTCTTAACATCACTCAGTAGAATGAAACAATATTTTTTAAAAAATCGTGTTTAGGGCTTCCCTGGTGGCGCAGTGGTTGAGAGTCCACCTGCCGATGCAGGGGACGCGGGTTCGTGCCCCGGTCCGGGAAGATCCCACATGCCGTGGAGCGGCTGGGCCTGTGAGCCACGGCTGCCTGTGCTCCGCAACGGGAGAGGCCACAACAGTGAGAGGCCCGCGTACCGCAAAAAAAAAAAAAGTGTTTAAAGGAAACATTTGCTGAAAAAGTATGGTAATGAAGTCACAAGGTGTAAAGTTCAACAAAGAGAAGGAATACCCCTGCATTTCCTTGGGACTTAACTTCGTGGTATAAAGCCGGTGCCCCCTCCCACAAACCTTGCTGAGCTGGGCCTGTATCCAGGAGGGAGGAGTGGCGGTAAACCAGGGGCCTGATCTGAGGTAGGCGGATCTGTTATACACTCATCTTATTACTTAAGTAAGAGAACTGGGGGACACTGAGTTATTGGTGATTATTTTGAAAATCCTGTCTTTTGGGCGTAGCACAGGGAAAACCTAATGGATCTTCAATATGTAGCTCTGTGGAAAGCAGAAAGAGCTCCATTTTCCTGTATCCAAGGACTGGATATTTTATGCTTAGTATCTTCTACGGTGCTTAGAATCTTGTTTTTCATAAGTAGGGTTCAGTAAATACTTGTCACTTGATAGCTCTTGAACGTTTTTTTCATATATTTCCAGTTAAATTTATATAAAGATGCTTTATCTGTAGACTACATAGACTATCTCTATAGACTATAATTTCATTGTGTATTTTCTTTATAGTGTATATTTTATTTATATGCTTTTTAGTGTATATAAATAGATATAATTTTAGTGTCCTTAACGTAGAGTGTTGGTCTTTAGGTTTTCATGTAAAGAGCCGTGGAGTGGGGTGTAAGGACATCTGATTCTTGACCCATCTCTCTGGCTGTGCATGCATGACCTTGGACAAGCCTCTCAACCTCTTTATCTAAATATCCTGATTGGTGAAATAAGGGGCTTGGACTAGATCAGTGGTTTCCCTCTTTTTTGACTGTGATTTGCAATAGCTTTAATTTTACACTGTGATCAGTACAAACATTGGTATATTTAACTGACACACAAGTTCACAAGACAGTACCGGTCCTTACTACACATGTTGCCATCTGATATTGCGGTACATGGGCCTCTCACTGCTGTGGCCTCTCCCGCTGCGGAGCACAGGCTCCGGACGCGCAGGCTCAGCGGCCATGGCTCACAGGCCCAGCCGCTCCGCGGCATGTGGGAGCCTCCCGGACCGGGGCACGAACCCGTGTCCCCTGCGTCGGCAGGCGGACTCTCAACCACTGCGCCACCAGGGAAGCCCCTATCCTATTTTATTTAAAACACTGGTGATGGTCCACTAAGGTCATTCCACAACCGATTAATGATTCCACTCACAAGCAACATGCCTCAGGGATTTCCAGGCTGTTTCTGTTTCAGGATTCTATGCTTATAGGTATTTTACAAATGTAAAAAAAAGAAGTATTAAAAACTGTAGTGTGGTTGAGAGATTCAAAGGCACGGGTGTTGCACTAACTGTGCTTTGTATAAATGTGTTGCCTGGTTTATTGGACTCATAGCAGTGACCTCACATTTACATGGCATTTACTCTGTACAACACAGGGATACAGAAGAACAGCATGTTCTTTGTTCAGAGTCATAATCTAATGGACACAGTCTCAGATTTCCAAGAGGCCTCATGTCATCTGTGTGGCCTTGTGAGTCTTCTGTCCCAACACCCCTGAGGCTCAGGACCTACCTGTATCAGTTGAGGTGCACTTTTTGGGATAGGAAGAATCTGTATGTGTGCAGGATATAAGGAAAAGTTTTTTTTTCCTGTTGTGTGCAATCCTCTGATCTCAATCATTTGCTTTGCTTTGGTGCATATGCCCCTTCACACCCCACTGCAGTCCTGTCAATGCACATGTACCTTTGATCTAATTTCCAGTCTTTTATAGGGTCTCAGGTCCAGGCAGAAGGGCTTTCCTAGGCTTTTGGACTAGGTTAGGAGCTCCAGCTAAATGTTTCCATAGGTACCCTTGCAATAACTAATGACACCAACTACCACAGAGTTGAGCCAAACTAAATAGGTTAAGTGGACAGTCCCCTACAAGACTGCCCTCATGCACCAGTCACAGATGTGGGGGAGAGGTGGTGTCTCCAGGCCACTCTTCTGACCAGCCAGCTACTAATTTGGGAGGTTCCTACTACCCTCTCAGGTTCAATAACTCACTGCAAGGACTCAGAACTCAAGAACATAAGTATGATTACAGTTTTATTGTAGCAAAAGGATATAAATCAAAACCAGCCAGGGAGCTTCCCGGGTGGCGCAGTGGTTAAGAATCCGCCTGCCAATGCAGGGGACACGGTTCAAGCCCTGGTCCGGGAAGATCCCACATGCTGCGGAGCAACGAAGCCCGTGTGCCACAACTACTGAGCCCGCACTGGAGCCCCCGAGCCACAACTACTGAAGCCTGCACGCCTAGAGCCCGTGCTCCCCAACAAGAGAAGCCACCGCAGTGAGAAGCCCGCTCACCGCAACTAGAGAAAGCCTGCGCACAGCAACGAAGACCCAACACAGCCAAAAATAGAAACAACCCAGCCAGGGACTTCCTTGGCGGTCCAGTGGTTAGGACTCAGTGCGTTCACTGCCAAGGGCCTGGGTTCCATCCCTGGTCAGAGAACCGAGATCTTCCAAGTCCCGTGGGGCAAAAAACAAAAAACAACCAGCCAAAGGGAAAGACGAGGGGCACAGGGACAGGTCTGGGAGAGTCCCAAATTCAGAGCTTCTGTTCCCTCCCTGTGGAGACCGATACTTACCCCTCCTAGCACACGGCACACTGACGTGTAACTATACAGAGTAGTGCCAACCGGCCAGACCCCATCAGGAACCAATCTCCTTAGCCTAAACTGTCAGCATCCACTATGAATAAAACACATGCCTATCACTCCAAGGTTTTAAAGAGGATCCCGCCTCTGCCTCTTTAAATTTAAACTACATACATAATGTTTTCAGTGGCTATGACAACTTGACAACTCAACGTTTTCTATTTTTTTCCTTCAATCTCTTACCCGTTACACTTTTCCAGGAATTGCTCCATTTAATTTTCTTCCACTCCTGAGGCTATACTGTAACATCATTTGAAATCGTATGGTTTCACTCTTCTGACCAGCCAGCTACTAATCGTATGATTATGGTCCTTGGGGCACAACGGATTGTGACTGAACTTGAAAAGCAAATTCCATTAAATTCAAACAAGAGTCACGGGTTACCTGCATTCTATAAAAAGATGAAGCATTTGTGGTCAGCGACCTTCCTTCTTTGACACAAGTAGGGAGGTCGGCTGCACACGCTTTGCAGTGTGCGCACGACCGCCACGTGCCACCCTGGTTACATCACGCTCAGCGGCTTTTACGGGAGTGCGCGGCCTTCAGCAAAATCCCGACTCCTATGCGAACAGCGGCTGCGGCGTCGGCGGCGTCGGCGGCGCCCAAGCCCCTGCGCAGGCGCAGAAGCAGCGCGGGAGCCTCCGCTCAGGCACTGCCGCGGACATCCCAGAGGACCTCGGCCACAGGGACCGGAAGTGACACATTTCCGCCTTTCCGCGTCCCTCGCGGCGGGCGTCGGGGCTCAGCGGCGCAGTCCGCTCCGAGAGTTCTGAGCCAACGGCTTCTTTGCGGGCCCCGCCGCCGCCGACCCCACTCCTCGTTGGAGAGAAGATGGTGGGCCGGAACAGCGCCATCGCCGCCGGCGTGTGCGGGGCCCTTTTCATCGGGTACTGCATTTACTTCGACCGCAAGAGACGGAGTGACCCCAACTTCAAGAACAGGCTGCGGGAACGTGAGTGGGTCCCCTGTCTCCTGGGCCTGCTGCCTCCCCACCCCACCCCGGCGTCCCCATCCCCTCCTGCCCCTCGCCGGGCCGCCGCGTGCTGGGCGGCCGCGTGGTGCTGCCGGGTCTGGGGCGGCGAGCGAACAAGCCAGAGAAAGGTGATGGCGCTGGCCGCGCGCTCCCAGGGCTGCTCCCGGCCCTTGTGCCCCGCACGAGTCCCTCCATTTTGGAGGAGGGAGCTTTCCCATTTTGTTTTCCCCAAACACTTTTCGGCGTGTAGATGCATATTTGTTTGTATTATGATTTAGGGCGGGGGTTGTGGTCCTTTTTCCTGTTGATCTTTCTAAACCTCTATTTCTAGCTCGAAAGTTGCGGGGTTTTTTGTATTTTACGAATTTGTGCTTGAGACCAAATCTGCAAATCCAGCTCGGTATCGTTCTCAAACGATAAGGTTGCATTCTTAAACCCTCTTGGTAGCTTCGTTCTAAAGGCTTCCAAGATATGAGTGAATGCTATAGAGATTGCAGGGGAGTCCAAAGGGCTTTGCTTTTGTGGCTCAGTCTTATTTCATACCTGCGACATCTTTTAAGAGAGATTTACAAGAGGGGAATCGTGTCACCAAAACCTTTGTGATCTTTGAATTTCGGAGGTATGCTCGTTTGCAGCAATAGAAGGGCAAATTTGTTGCATTAAAAA